TCCCATCATCACAAATGCTATCATTGTAATGAACATAAAAATAATTGCAACTTACTGAGCACCTGCCATGCATCAGACACTGCAGTATCAATACAATAACCATGCATAATAGGTATGATCATTCCCATATTTCAGATAGGAAGTGGGACAAACTTGCTCTCCAGTAACTTGTTCAAGGTCACAAAGCTAGAAAGTGGCAGAGACATGTCAAGTATCAGGGTGTCTTAAGCCTATACTCCCACTTCCCTCACCAAGCCACCTCTATCTATTATATCTCCCATATAATAGCATGCCACATTGGAATTACTCTGTTCTCATCTGTTTCCTCTCCATTGATAGTAGACTTCTTGAAGACCAATATGGTGTCGCTTGTCTTCTGTGCTCCAGTCTCTAGCATTGAGCCCAACACATAGCAGTGTCGCAATAGGCATTACTCATTGAGTAGGTCATTTCCCTGTACCTCTGCTCCCGCAAAGCCTCAAACCCTCATTCTAGATCCCTTCCTTTGTCCCTCTTGTATCACGCTAATGGAAGCTAATAATCAGGAAACAAAATGTATTAATGTAGATTAAAATTCTTCAATCAAGTGACATAGATGAAAACTTAGACTTGAACAAGATTCTGTGTGCAGAAAAGTGTGATTATGTGAACATGCATGTTTAGAGCCATTTTAATGTCTGTTGGTTGAAATAGAATACATTAAGTCAATATGAGAATTCAGCCCAGCCAAGGGCTGAAGAAACATGATGAAGAAAGTGTGTGTGAGAAAAAAATTTTTTCTGTTTAAGCTACCCAATCTTCTGAATTTTTTTAAAAATATATTTTTTATTGATTTTTTACAGAGCGGGAGGGAGAGAGATAGAGTCAGAAACATCGATGAGAGAGAAACATCATCAGCCGCCTCCTGCACACTCCCCACTGGGGATGTGCCCGCAACCCAGGTACATGCCCTTGACCGGAATCGAACCTGGGACCCTTCAGTCTGCAGGCCAACGCTCTATCCGCTGAGCCAAACCGGTCCCAGCTTCTGAATTTTATTATACCAATCTGAGCAGACTAAGACACTTCCCTCTAAAGTTCCTTGGCCTTTTACCTACCTAGCCTGCCTCTTTGGTAGTTTACACTGCCTTGTTCTGTCTTTGTATTAGATTTAAGTCTATTCTTAATGCTCCCATGTTCGCAAAATGCTTCATCAATATGTAACTTATCTCCCAACACACACAGTATCAGCTAGGAAAAACTTAGGTAAGCCTTTTTTATTTTAAAGTGCCTGAAAGAAAGATCTAGATTCTGGACATTCAGTAAATCTGAATTGCTTAAATAAGCTAGTTACCAGGTGTATAATTTTGGATAAATTAATCCTCAGTTTTCACATCTTCAACAGGAAGAAAGATTCTATCTCTTAGATAAAATTTATCTGAGATTGTAGTGAGGATTAAATGAGATAAGACTACTTGGCACACAGTATGTGCTCCAATAAAAGAGAACTATTATCATTATCATTTTGTTCTGAAAGCACATCTGGGAAAGAGGAAATATTCATATATATATATATATTCTTTCACTTTTTCCCATTTTGAGATAGGCCCAACAGAATTTTACTGATTGGAAGAGATAAATAACAGAATCCTGATTCTCCTCTCCCCACTGGCATTCCAGAGTGGAATGCTGCTCGGCTCATTAACATTTTCTAGTCCTAGGATTTGTTGCATTTCAGTTTAAATAGCAATTTGATGCAGCCAAAGAGGTTTGCATAACAATATGTCCTATTTACTGAACATACAAAATGTAAAGATAAAGAAATGTTAAAAGTTGCACTACCAGTCCCTGGATGTGAAGGCCCTGATTTTTGCTCTATTTTAACTTTTTAAAAATTTCAGTGTTGCAAATGTGATTCTGAACAGACTGCACAGAAAGACAATTTAAGCATATTAATATCTTATTAGAAAACTTCTAATTCCCCCACATGTAGAAGGGGGTGTGACCTGTTAGGGGATTGCAGCCTTTGTGATGATTCACCCCTTCACACACACATATACTGACACATCTGAGGAATTATCCTACAAGTTTACTGTCTGCAAACATTGATAAGTCTTAGATCATTTTTTAAAGAATCTGTTGCAATATTCACCCTTTAATTTAGACTCTACAAAGGATCCATTGTATGGCTGGCTCAGGATTTTTTCTCACTTCCCAAAACTTCACTCCCCCGTAAAGTCAAGACTTTAATCAATACTAATTGAAGTTGGCATAAGGAAATTTTAAAATGACTCATAAATTAGCACAGACCCAATCCGTGATTTCTCAGATCGGTGGATTCCGCAGAGCAGCACCTGAGACCTCACAGCCAAGAAGCCTTAGTGAGAATGAACATGTGAGCTGAGCTATTGAGTTGCCAAGGAACTTTTGTGATTTGATTCTTAGTGAGAAATGTCTAGGGTAATATTCATCTCACTTGTTAAAAGGGCTTATCATAATGTCCTTTGCTGGGGACCAAAAGGGAAAAACTTAAAGAAAATCAAATTTCCTAGTGCCATTAATTACATAACAGAAAAGAATAAAAATTTTTAAAGGATGCAGATGCAGGGAATAGTAATACATCTTAGCTCAATTTTCTAGTTTACATAATTCCTTTTTATCTTTTTAAAGGCATAGAATGGCACATGATCATTGCATGTATGAATAATAATACAAATGTGTATCAAACAGCAAGCGGAAGGTCCCTCACCTTTCCCATGACATCCCAGTCTCTAAATAAAGCCTCCCATTAATATTTCAGTGTATGGCCTCCTAGGTTCTTCTACCCAAACGTATGCAAATTTCTTTACCCTGTGCTTTTTAATCCAACAAAATGATACGCATTTCTTTCCTTGCCTATTCATATAAATCAACCTTCTAACTATCTGCATAGTAACTGCTGAACTACAACTTAACCCACCTACTGCCAATAATATTTAGGTTGGTTCCAGTTTTTCACCACAACGAGCAATGGTATATAATGTCTGCATGATTGAAATAAAATATATTACATGCTGAGAGTCCTCCAGCTCTGCAGTGGTTCTCCACCCGGTCTGAAATCTGAGCCCCAGCCAACCCCGTCATAGCAGGAAACGCCAGCAGAAGCCCAGCTCAGGAGTCACTGGGCACGTCTGGGTCTACAGTGCATTTGGCTCATGGGCCCACATGTGTGCGGTTGCGGTGAATTTGTACTACAGGCAAATTCCATGATTGCCCGTAGAGGCAGCCTGGGCTTGTGCTGTCCCTTTCCAGGACACCACTGGCTCCAGACCTCAGCACTCACCAGGGGCCTCCTCTCCTCACTCCAGAGTCTGTTCAGTGGCGTTGTCTTCTCAACATGGCTCAGAGTTCCCCAGAGCCAGAACCTGGCGCACACACTGGGTGCTCAGGGGTGTCTTTGGGAGATCTAAGGAGCCATGATTGCGCCCTGGCTTCAAAGAGCCTCTGGTCCAGCAGACAACAGGCTGTCAGACAAATACAGAACAGAGTGATATTGGGGGACAGGCTTACTGAAGAGGCGACCTGAGGGCCGATGGTCATAAGGGAGATCATTGGGGGTGTGGTGAAGTGAAGGGGTGCCATGAGGGCAGAAATGGGGCCATGGAGACACCATGCAGTGAGGGAAGGCACTTGCTACCTGGGAAGGGTTCTCTGTGGAAGAACCCTGACCCGCAGATAAACGTCACAGCTGCCATGATGTGACAGGGTTACCTGTGATTGGCCCATGTTTATTTTTCTCCCAGGCTCCAAGATCCCAAAAGAGGCCATACATCTGCCTTCAGTTGCCTCTTGGGCTTGAAAATGTCTAACTCCCAGACCTGGATATGCCATATATGACAGTTCCCTTGAAACATGCTGTGCAGATGTTTCTCCCCGGCAGCCACTGTGTCAAGCAGCAAGGATGGACCGGCTTCTGGCACTAACGAGCCCATGCATCTGCCTTCAGTGCCTTTCAGGCTTGAAAATGTCTAACTCCCTAGCTTGCCCACCCCTGGTCTAATCACATTCTTAGATTTAATCTTCTCCACCCAGTTGCTGAGCTAATCTCATCTTTCCCAGCGGAGACCCACCCTTTTCCTCCTGGGAGGGACAGAAGATGGAATCCCTCCCTTTGCCCTGCAGGATGGCACTGTCTGCCCTCCAGCTTGTCTCCTTTTAAATCCTAAATTCACCCAGAGAAGAGTTTTCCATCTCTCGTCTCTCCAAGGAAAAACAGCCATCTGCTACATGGCCCTGGGTCATTCACAGGGTTCCATTACGATGGCTCCGCCCCACACTGCCCAGCCCTGAGCCTGCTTCCCATGGTGATTCTGTCCTGACCTCCCTCAGAGAAGCCTGGTGGTCTGAAGGCCCCCCACCCCCATCCTCAAACGACCACCGCTTGCTCCCTGAAGGAGCTCATGGTCTGCTGTGTCACCTGACATAAAACCTAAGTGACAACCAGATGCATGGACACATGTCTTTTTTTCTTGGGGATGCCACCATTGTCTTCTCCCTGTTTTAGCTGCGGATAACTTGGATTACTCTAATGTGGCCAAAGGTCCCAGCAACCATGCCCTCAGGTTGTGTGTTTTTTTCCTTTCTAACGTCAGGAACACATTACACCCTTCACTCTCTCACACCAAGTAGGATAACTATGGGCTATCCGTCCACCTCAGTGAGTGCCTTTGGAAGGAATCAATGAGCCAGTCTTCAACCTTGCCCCTCCCTAACCTTCTCTTTCCTAAACGGATATCTGGGTCAATCAATTAATAGGGAGAAACGCATAAGTCCCATTAGGATTATGGGGTTTAGACCAGGGGTTCTGATTGGATGTTAGCATTTGAGACGGTGTATAAAAACCTCAGGCACTAGAGGAGAGATTCAGAGGCCTCCAGCTCTGCAGTCAGTGTCGTGTTTCTCCACCAGGTCTGAGATCTGAGCCCCCGCCAACCCAGTCACAGCAGACGTTTCCGCAGGATTCCTTTCTGAGAACCTTGAAGATGAGCATCCGGGCGCCACCCACACTCCTGGAGCTGGCAGCAAAGCGCCTGCTGAGGGACCAGGCCTCGGCCATCGCAGCTCTGGAGCACCTGCCCGCCGAGCTCTTCCCATACCTGTTCGCCATGACCTACCCTGGTGGACGCCGCCTCCAGCTACTGAAGGCGTTGGCCCAAGCCTGGCCCTTCACTGTCCTCCCTCTGGGGGTCCTGATGCGGCGTCCCCCTGATCATGCCCCAACCAGGGCCGCAGGCTTAAAAGCCGTGTTTGATGCGCTTGACGTTCTGCTTGCCCAGGAGGTTCGGCCCAGGAGGGGAAACTGCAGGTGCTGGATTTAAGGAACACGGGTGCCAACTTCTGGGATATGTGGCTTGGAGTCAGCACCGGGAATTGCTCACCGACAGGACCAGTGACTGTGCACAGCTCCAGCCCCAACATGGAGCATCTCCTGGCTCCCTTGGAGGTGTTCCTAGACCTTAACTTCAACGAAAGAGACCGGGATAAGTTTTTCATGCACATCGTCCAATGGGCCCAGCAGAGGGAGGGGTTGCTACACCTGTGCTGCAAGGCGCTGAGGATTCCTGAGGTGCCCTTCCAGAGGGTCAGGAGGGTCCTGGATAGGGTGAGGCTGGACTGCATCCAGGAGGTGAACGTGAACTGCACCTGGGACCTGCCCACCCTGGGGGCCTTTGCTCTCTACCTGGGTCAGATGAGTAACCTGCAGAAACTCCTTCTCCTGGGAGAGCTGGCTGAGGATGATGAGGAGGAAGGGGATGAAGAGCAGGAGGAGGAGGGGGAGGAAGAAGAAGCTCAGGCTGCAGCACCTCCGGGAGCTCCACATGCATTCTCCCTCCTTCCTCCGAAGGGTCCCAGGTTCGATTCCGGTCAAGGGCATGTACCTTGGCTGCGGGCACATCCTCAGTGGGGAGCGTGCAGGAGGCAGCTGATCGATGTTTCTCTCTCTTCGATGTTTCTAACTCTCTATCCCTCTCCCTTCCTCTCCATAAAAAACCAATAAACTATATTAAAAATAAAAAGATTCCTAATGGTAAAATGTTACCTCTTTTCTTGGGTGAGGAGCATAATGAAATACTACCACTCGCCTACTTTCCTCTGACATTCTAGAGCTGATTCGTTCTGGAATAACAGAGAGGATGAGAGAATTCAGCTCAGTCCCAGACTTCAAATGATTCTCATCTACAAGGCTTGGCAGGGGAAGCTCCAAGCGGTTCTCTAGGTCCCCTCCAGTGAGCTCCTTACCCTACACACTTCAGCACCTGGACAGCTCTCTCGGCACCAACTCTAGGGGGAGAGAGTGGTAAGCAGCTGTTGAACCCTCTAGTGGTAGCTTTAGTTGTTGCACAACTTGTCTTTTAATTACTTGGATAATACATATATTACTGTTATGAAAAAATCCAACCTTTTTAAGAATATAGAGTAAATATGAACGTTTCCACTACCTTCTCCACTCCCCCCTCTTCAGAAGCAGGCACTGCTAATATACAAACCACAAATACTTACCAACATCTTTTGTTTTGTGAACAGATTCATTAATCTAGGCCCATTTTGCTTTTATTTTCAGCTAATAAAATGCTTTAGAGTCTTTTTCATCCTAAGTCCTGGAAGACAGTATGGAAGAATGGCTGAACGTCTGTGTGCTAGCAACAGTTAGGTTATGAATCCTAATTCTGCCCCTTCCTCATTGTCTGACCTGGGCCAAGTCACTTAACGACTATTTACCTCCGTTCACTTATCTGTGAAGTAGGAATAATAAAATCTCACACCTCAGAGGGTTTTTAGGGTAAATAAATGATAAAATATAGATCATTCAATAGCTCTTAACTGCTACTAATATTAATTACACAGTAACTGATATATAGAATTCCATAAGATAAATGTATTATAAATTAGGTTATGGCTCACTTATTAAGGGCCATTTCTGTTGTTTTCTAGTTTTCCTATACTGCAGTGCTGTAATGAACACTTTAGCATACATGTCTATTTTTATGCCTATGTAAAAAGTAACTTTTTAGAATCTATTCCCAGCAAGAGAGTGAAAAACTTTTCAGTTAACTTCCAAAGACTCTTAGAGTCCACATTATTGGTTGATTTGCACAGTGCTGCTGAGAGAGAGAGAGAGGAGAGAGAGAGAGAGAGAGAGAGAGAGAGAGAGAGAGAGAGAGAGAGACTCCTCTGAGATAGTCATATCAGTGTAAGGATACATGCTGTGAAGAAAAACATATCAGAGAAAGTGCACAGAGAGACTGGGGAACAATAGTAGATGAGGTCATTAGCAATGACTACCCCATCTACACAGGATGAAATAGCAAAAGGGACCTGAATGCAGTAAAGGACTAAACATAGCCAGTGGTTTGTAAATATGTGGGACCAGGAAACAATCTTGCCTTTCTGGTTTCTTCCCCACCTCCTACACTGAAAGCAAACCCTGTACTCATATATGGCCTATCTTTCCTACTTCCCCATATATGGCCTTTATTTATCTTGGAGTTCTCAGTCTCTGTCTTAACTTACCACGAACAAAATCATTTTGCAGGCAGAGCTTAATTCCTTATGCTCCATAGTCCCCCCCCAGCTTCCCACCAGACCAGAGTCCTGGGCTGTGCATTTTATGGACTCTCCATTGTAGCTGGCTGGGATGTGGCTGCTGTTCCAGTTAATCTTTTGAGGTTGCTATGCAACACAGTCCTTGGCCATGTGTATTCACTCTATTCAGTGACATAGGAACATGAAAGAGGAAGCATTTAAATGTCTACTTTATGGGTGTCAATATTCTAAACAAAATGAGTCCTTCACTCAGGCCTTGGGCTGTAGCCAAAGAAAAGCTATTTTATGCTGGAGCAGTCTATTAGATGTAGGAGTTGATGCTGTAGGTACGGGCCTAAAGGCATCCAAAGGTTTATAGAACCTATTTTGCTCTAATATATTTTGTTCTAGGTTTCAATTGTTCCGATTAGGATGCGTTTGGCTGCAAGTAAGAGAAAACCAAACTTCAACCGGCTTAAAAATAAACTATGTATTCTTATTAAACAAGTGTAGAGGTGCCTGACTCCTGGATGATGTCTTTGGGAGTTAAGAGGCATTATTAAGGACCCATATTCTTTCTGTTTTTCTGCTTGTCTATCTTTAGCAAGATATGGGCCATCCGTCCACCTCAGTGTCACCTGGGGCTTCTCTCACAATCCCAATATGGTCGCCACAGCTCCAGTTATCATTGCAAATACAACAATATCCAGCAAAATATAGACCAAACAGGGAATTGCGCCTTAGGGTGTGTCTCACCATCTAGGAAAACTTGAAAAGCCTCCAGGATTTTCACTTCTGATTGGCCAGAACTGAGTCACATGTGCAATAACTGGCGTACCTGAAATGGACCTATCTCTATTTGCATGGGCATGAATAGTGCCATCTCTCACAGAGGAAGGTGGACACCTACACCAAATTGGGGTTCTATTATAGAGGAGTAAGAGGGTCAAGATGGTTGGGGGTTGGGTACTAGGTCACTGGTCACTTTGTTAGGGCTGTTATAACAAAACAGCACAGATAAGGTGGCTTAAACAACATAAATTTATTTTCTCACAGTCCTGGAAGCTATAAATCCAAGATCAGGGTATCAACAGGGTCATTTTCTTCTAAGGCCTTTCTCCTTGGCTTGTACATGGCTGTCTACTCCCTCTGTCATCACATGGTCTTCCCTCTGTATATGTCTGTGTCTGAGTTTTGTCTTTTAATCTCATTTAAAAATTTTTAAAATATATTTTCATTGATTTCAGAGAGGAGGGAGAGGAAGAGAGAGATAGAAATATCAATGATGAGAGAGAATCATTGGTTGGCTGCCTCTTGCAGTCCCCCTATTGGGTATTGAGCCCATAACTCAGGCATGTGGCATGACCAAGAATCGAACCATGACCTCATGGTTCATTGGTTGACACTCAACCACTGAGCCACATTGGCCAGGCAAGTTTCTTCTTTTTACAAGGACACTAGCCATATGGGATAAAAGCTTAACCCTAACAACTTCATTTTAACTTAACTATCTTTAAAGATCCCCATCTCCAAATGCAATCACATTCTGAGGTATACTGGGACTTAGAATTTCAACATATGGGTGGGCCACAGTTCAGTCTATAACAGTTATCAACAGTGACTTTCACTAGTTATTTGTAGAGTATACAGAATTCAAAAGGAAAGAAATCCAGCCATAGCCAGTGTGGCTAAGTGGATAGATAGAGCATCAGCCCATGGACTGAAGGGTTCTGGATTCGATTCAGGGGGCACATACCTCAGTAGTAAGCTCGATCCGGGGCATGTGTGGGAGGCAATCAACTGATGTGTCTCTCACATCGATGCTTTTCTCTGTCTTTCCCCCTCCCTTCTACTCTCTCTCAAAACCAATGGAAAAATATCCTCAGGTGAGGATTAACAACAACAACAACAAAAGGAAGAAATCCAAATTACACGTTATCACACAACCCACAGGGACCCACTCTACATATCCTTCCAGTCATTTCTTATGTCTATCCCCCTAACATGGAGAAATTTTCTTTTTATTAAAATGGCATTGTACTATGCCTACTGCTTTGCAGTGTGCTGTCTTACATACCTTGAACCTCTTTCCATGTCTTTAACTTTTTAACAGCTGCAGATTATTATACTTTATGGATTTACCACTATTTCCTTTCTGAATCTTGTGTTGTTGTGTACTTAGGGGTTTCCACTTTTTATTATAAACAGCACTCCGATGAACATCTTTCTAGCTGGATTGTGTCGCATCCCTATCACTATTAAGAGCATTATGAACAATTTGTAATTAATTATAAGTTATCTTTTAATGCCAATATTAATAATTAACATAATTATTAATTCAGTTATTGGTAATAATTGTACTTATTACTTTTTAACTATCTTAAAGAATTTCAAAGATCAATTTCTCGTAGTGGAATTTCCCAGTTAATCTTTCCTAAACGCTGAATCAGGAAGCCCTGGGCCTTACAGTTGTCATGTCACCAGAAGTCACCTTCATCACGGAGTAGAGTACAGCTCAGAGAAGGCAGAGAAGGCCCAGGGAGCCGCTTGTCTGCTCCACAGAATTACTTTACCCCAGAGAGTAGGTTATGTGTCATTAATTCTTTCACTCCATACTTTCCTTTATAATCAATTTGGGGAAACATGTACAAAGATGTATGTGTTGGAGGCCAGGAAGCAAAGGGATTCATGCCACTCAGATCAGTCACAAAATGCCCCCAATATTTATGAGCAAGAAATACAAATGTTTTGGAAATCTCCACCTATCACTCTGAAGTAAAACTGACATGAGAGAGAGGGGGGAACAGGGGGAGAGAATTACCTCATCTTCATGTTTTTGTAAGTTGGTTTCTAAGTCAAAACAGAAAATGAAATACAGACACAGTCTCACTGAAGGTCTCCTAGGCCAGGCTGTAATGTGAGCAGAGTGGGGTAGAAAGTGCACAGGGCAGGGCATGGGGTGGTGTACGTCCCTGGCCCCGGCTCCATGGTGCTGTGCACAGGTTCCCTCAGGTGTCACTGCCAAACCCACCGACTACATTCAGTTATCACAATAATAAAAATGATATTTGATATGGGAGGCTTTTCAGAAGGTTAAGACTCTGCATCCATATCAGACATTTCCAAGCATTGAAAATAACCATAGAATAACATGTTAATTTTTCAAGTCTCTTATTTGAATTTTTTGGTCAGTAATTTTTCCAACATGGCTTTTACCTCCACATAATCAAATGTCCTTTCCACACTGTCTACCTCACTCAAAATAATAAAAGCCAGACTCTAAGCTCCATAGGGACAGGGCCATTTTCCCCCTTTCCCCCCAAACCTCTGCCTGAAGCACAGTGGTGCTTGGGTACTTTTGGAGAGGAAAAATAATGAGAGAGTAGCTAACATTTACTGTGCAGTTGACATGTGCCAGGGACTGTGCTAAGAGCCATATAAACATTCTCTCATCACAGCCCTGTAAGGAAGGTGCTATCATTTCCTCCAGTTTACAGATAAACAAACTGAGGCTGAGGGAAATTTTTAATTTTTACCAAAGTCAAACTGCTAGTATGCAGCAAATTGAAACTAAATCATGGTCTAAATTTGTGCTCTTCACTATGACCTATGGAGAAGAAATTTAAACACTGGCAACATCCAGTTTTGTTGTTTCAAAGAGATGATTTCAAAGAGAAACCATAGAACTGGATCTTTTAAGTACCATGATTTCCATCTGCATATGTCTATATCTATACCTATATCTATAATGCCTCCCTTTGGGGATTGAGCCAGCAACCCTGGCATGTGCCCTGCCCAGGGAATCTAACCATGACCTTCTGGCTCATAGGTCTATGCTCAACCACTGAGCCATGGCAGCTGGGCCTAAGTTAACTTTTTAACGTTTTAACCTTTTGTCTCTTAAGTCATCTAAGGGCACCTTATTTATATTCTAAAGGATTATAAATGTACATAACATTAAGAAAATTCTCACCCGAGAGTGTACAGCACAGAGCTATAACTATAGCAGTAACATTTTGTTTCTTTTCAAAAGCAAAATCTGAAGCACATTTGGAAAAATGTTAACATCTGTTAACTTTGAATGGTGGTTTTTGGGTGTCTGTTATATTACTTTCTTTGCTTATGTATACTTGAAATTTTTCATGATTAATAAAAAAATGTAGGAAAGAAAGAAAAAGTTTTGTAGTTGATACCTTTTATTAGCATTTTTATTGGTACTTACAGATGTCATTTTTTTAAATCCTCACCCAAGGATATATCTTCATTGATTTTAGAAAGAGAGGAAGGGAGAGGGAGAGAGAGAAACACGGATGTAACAGTACGCCCCCCGACTGGGAATCAAACCCACAACCCTTTGGTGCATGGGACAATGCCCCACCAACCGAGCCACACAAATTAAGGCTGACTTTTTAAAAATTATTATTACAGCCCTAACCGGTTTGGCTTAGTGGATAGAGCATCGTCCTGTGGACTGAAGGGTCCCAGGTTCGATTCTGGTCAAGGGCATGTACCTTGGTTGCGGGCACATCCCCAGTGGGGAGTGTGCAGGAGGCAGCTGATTCATGTTTCTCTCTCATAGATGTTTCTAACTCTCTATCCCTCTCCCTTCCTCTCTGTAAAAAACCAATAAAATATTTTAAAAAATTATTATTACAGAAGATATGTGACTATGCGCTCATTGTAAAAACTGTCCAACAGTACAACATCCAAACATCTTAAATGTTTTCTCATTTAAAACAATGCTGGAACATATCATTTTATGTTCATTTGTAAGGATTTCTGTTGGGGAGATTCTTAGAAATACAATTTCTGAGTCAAAGATATGCATTTTTAAAATTTTGATATATAGCGAGAATGCTCCCCAAAACCATGTATGAGCTACCCATTTCCTTGAACCCTCACTGACCCTATAAGCAATCAACCTTTAGAAGCTTTGCTGTATTTATCAATACTACATCTAGGAATCTACTACACAGATGTACTCACACATATGTTAAGTGATGTATGTACAGTGCAGTGTTAATGGAAAAACACTGACAAAATATTTCCACTGATAAGGAAACATTAAAATAGACTGTGGTATGTCTGCACAATGAAAAATATTTCCACTGATAAAGAAGTATTAAAATAAACTGTAGTATGTCAGCTATAAAAAATATGAACCCTAGCTGGTTTGGCTCAGTGGACAGAGTGTCAGCCTGCAGACTGAAAGGTCAAGGGCATGTACCTTGGTTGAGGGAATAGCCCCAATAGGGGGTGTGCAGGAGGCAGCTGATCGATGATGCTTTCTCATCATTGATGTTTCTACCTCTCCCTTCCTCTCTAAAATCAATAAAAATATATTTAAAAAATAATAATAATGAGTAAGCCCCCTCGGGACTCATAGGGGAGCTTTGGAAGGTGGAAGAGAACACCACTATATGCAGAGAAGTTATGCAGTGCCTGGCCATCTGTGCTAAAGTGGTGGTGGTAACTATACACATTTCCTGTGTGTGCATTGAAAGTCTCTGGAAAACTGCAGCAGATACTGATAACATTGGCTGCACTGGGGGGAAGGAAACTAGAGATCTGAAAAAGACAGATGGAGAGGGACCTTTCCCTGTACATTTTTAGAGCCTTTTTCATTTTTATCTTTGAACTCTTTAAAAGTACTACCTACTCAAATAATTCATAGAATTTGAATTAAAATATAAAATATTTCCCAAATGACAGATGAAAAATGCTCTTGTTGGTACTTTAGAGTGCAATTTTCTTTTTTTAAAAATATATTTTATTGAGTTTTTACAGAGAGGAAAGGAGAGAGATAGAGAGTTAGAAACATCGATGAGAGAGAAACATCGACCAGCTGCCTCCTGCACACTCCCCACTGGGGATGTGCCCGCAACCAAGGTACATGCCCTTGACCGGAATCGAACCTGGGACCCTTCAGTACGCAGCTCTATCCACTGAGCCAAACCGGTTTCGGCTAGAGTGCAATTTTCTTTTCTTTTTTTTCTTTTTCTTTTTTTTTTTAGAGTGCAATTTTCTAATTGCTGGTGAAACTGAGCTTACATTTTTGTTACTGGCCATCCACACACGTTTTTCTGTGAACTTTCTGCTTATATCACTTTCACATTTTGCTAGTAAGTTGTTGGGGTTTCTGCCCCCAATTGTTGGATAGCTCTTTATATATCAGCGTTGTTGTTTTTTACAGTTTTATGGAGATATATTTTACATCATAAAAATTCATCCATTCTAAGTGTATAGTTCAAGGATTTTTAAAAATATATATTTTTATTGATTTCAGAGAGGAAGGAAGAGGTAGAGAGAGATAGAAACATCAATGATGAGAGAAAATCATTGATCGTCTGCCTTCTGCATGCCCCTACTGGAGATAGAGCTAGAAACCCGGGCATGTGCCCTGACCAGGAATCTAACCGTAACCTTCGGGTTCATAGGTCGATGCTCAACCACTGAGCACACCAGCTGAGCTAATTCAAGGATTTTTACCCAATTTATAAAGTTTTACAGCTATCACCATATACCAAGGATGTTAATTCATTGTTCCAGAGTTCTTTGGTGCCTCTTGATGACATAACCCTTTGCAACATAAGTACTTGAGGAAATGCTTTCTCCCAATCTGATCATTGTCTTTTAGGTTATACTGATACGGATAATCAAAATTTACCCAGTTAAATTTGAACACAGAAAGACAGATATGACAAAAACAAGAGTTAAATACTAGTCTCTTCTGGCTATCAAGAAAAATAAAAAGGCTTCACTATCAAACAGATCAGATAAAGTATTATTTGACTTTGTCATTAATTTCATTTATAAAAAAATAAATATGAACCATGGGTGTCTGAGTATATGTATCACTATTAAAGTAATTAATGTATTAAAGTCAGGTACAGAGAGAACCAAGATGGCGGCATAGGTTAACGCCGAAGATTGCTGCCTCGAACAACCAATTCAAATTACACCTAAAAGACGGAACGGACATCATCCAGAACCACAGGAGGGCTGGCTGAGTGGAAATTCTACAACTAGGAGGAAAGAGAATATCATACCCAGACTCAGAAGAGGCACAGTGCTGAAGTGAAATTCTCAGGTGCGTGCACACGTGGAGTGGGCTGGCAGCGTGGAGGGCGCGGTTGTTGTTTACAATCGGGAGGGAGTTTCAGACTCTGAGCCCCAGATCCGGGCGAGTCGCTAGGAACTCAGACGCAAATTGGAGAAGCGGGACTGTCTGGCCTCAGTCGGAACTCGAGGGCAGCTTTCTCTCCGAGGTTTGCAGCGGTTGCTGGGACTCTGTGAGGCAGAGTCCCTAGGGACGGAACTGAGAGCCGCCATAACTGCTCCCTCCCTGCAGATCCCCAGGGACCCGCCCCGCCCAAGCCCTGCGCGGCAGAGCCATCTGCCGGAGATAGCTGCAGGCAAACGCTAGATTAGCACCTCCCTAGAGCTCCAGGACAGAAGTTCTCCCACTGCAGACACAGCTGATTCTCACAGCAAATTGGCCTGGAGGCCAATCCCACCGAGTGTTACTTACAACAATTCAGGCTTAACTACAACAAGACTGTGCACAAAGACCACAAGGGGGAGCACCAAGAGTGTTCTCCTCAGGTCATTGGGGCGGCTGAGGCCCTGA